CAAGAGAATTCCCTTTTTTGGTCTCGGCAGCCAGTGGAACGCTCTTTTGGGGTTTGGGGGGTGAACGACAGAACCTGGAGGAGGAGGACAGGAACCAGTTATTCATCTGTCCATTCATTCATCCTTTCATCCACCAGTCCCATCCATCCATCCATCCATCCATCCATCCCATCCATCCATCCATCCATCCATCCATTCATTCATCCTTTCATCCACCAGTCCCCTCCATCCATCCATCCATCCATACCTTCAGTAGTTCCAGTCCAGAGCGGATGGCAGTATCTGGTGTGACACCTTCGTCATCATCATCAGCTGTTCCCTCAATAGACTTATTCAGCAGTTTGACCAGAGCACTGGGCAGAGAGAGATATAACATTACATATCATATATAACATATCATAACATTACATATCATATATAACATATCATAACATTATATAACATCTTATTCAGCAGTTTGACCAGAGCACTGGGCAGAGAGAGATATAACATTACATATCATATATAACATATCATAACATTATATAACATCTCATTCTGCAGTTTGACCAGAGCACTGGGCAGAGATAGATATAACATTACATATCATAACATTATATAACATCTCATTCAGCAGTTTGACCAGAGCACCGAGCAGAGAGAGATATAACATTACATATCATATATAACATATCATAACATTATATAACATCTTATTCAGCAGTTTGACCAGAGCACTGAGCAGAGAGAGATATAACATTACATATCATATATAACATATCATAACATTATATAACATCTTTATTCAGCAGTTTGACCAGAGCACTGGGCAGAGAGAGATATAACATTACATATCATATATAACATATCATAACATTACATATCATATATAACATATCATAACATTATATAACATCTTTATTCAGCAGTTTGACCAGAGCACTGGGCAGAGAGATATATAACATTACATATCATATATAACATATCATAACATTATATAACATCTCATTCTGCAGCTTGACCAGAGCACCGGGCAGAGAGAGATATAACATTACATATCATATATAACATATCATAACATTATATAACATCTTATTCTGCAGCTTGACCAGAGCACCGGGCAGAGAGAGATATAACATTACATATCATATATAACATATCATAACATTACATATCATATATAACATATCATAACATTATATAACATCTTATTCAGCAGTTTGACCAGAGCACTGGGCAGAGAGAGATATAACATTACATATCATATATAACATATCATAACATTATATAACATCTTATTCAGCAGTTTGACCAGAGCACCGAGCAGAGAGAGATATAACATTACATATCATATATAACATATCATAACATTATATAACATCTCATTCAGCAGTTTGACCAGAGCACTGGGCAGAGAGAGATATAACATTACATATCATATATAACATATCATAACATTATATAACATCTTATTCTGCAGTTTGACCAGAGCACTGGGCAGAGAGAGATATAACATTACATATCATATATAACATATCATAACATTATATAACATCTCATTCAGCAGTTTGACCAGAGCACTGGGCAGAGAGAGATATAACATTACATATCATATATAACATATCATAACATTATATAACATCTTATTCTGCAGCTTGACCAGAGCACTGGGCAGAGAGAGATATAACATTACATATCATATATAACATATCATAACATTATATAACATCTTTATTCAGCAGTTTGACCAGAGCACCGAGCAGAGAGAGACACAGAACAAAAAGAGTGAACGACTGGGTCGCGTCTCTAAGCATACGAACCGATAAAACGAACGACCAGCCGGCTTGGGTAGAGACCCTAGATTTGTGTCGGGACTATATCTTGTGGAAGGATGAAATAGTATGAATAAATTCATCAAAATAACGTTTTTTAATGAAAATATGTCAATGATTATTTGAATATGTTGGTAACCCGTTGTATAATGCCCTCGAAGCCGGTGTTTGGAGGATATATTGACACGGTTTGCCGGCGCCAGACGAATATATCCTCCAAAACATGGCTACTCCGGCATTATCACCGAAGTACCCACGTATCAGAGGTAGATAAACTGTAGTAATCAATGTATTAAACTGTTAAGACCCCTACATGGTTAGTTGGGCCAACAGGATTGATGGTATGAAATGAAATGTATTATCCAGGGAACAATCTTCTCAAACCAAGGTTCATGATTTGTTAACTTCACAACACTAAATAATAATAAATCATAAAATCAGACCGACTGCCACTGATAACAGCATGCTACACACACACACTGGCTGTTTATTTACCTGATGGCCTCGGAGTCGATGTGTACGGGAGCGATCCGTTCTAACAGGAACTTAACCATCTCCAGGAAGGGGTTGGTGGGCTGCTTAGGGAACGTCAGTTTACGAGTAATCTCCCTCTGAAATACAGGATCAATATCTACTGGTAATCTCCCTCTGAAATACATGATCAATATCTACTGGTAATCTCAGTCTGAAACACATGATCAATATCTACTGGTAATCTCCCTCTGAAATACATGATCAATATCTACTGGTAATCTCCCTCTGAAATACAGGATCAATATCTACTGGTAATCTCCCTCTGAAATACAGGATCAATATCTACTGGTAATCTCCCTCTGAAATACATGATCAATATCTACTGGTAATCTCCCTCTGAAATACAGGATCAATATCTACTGGTAATCTCCCTCTGAAATACAGGATCAATATCTACTGGTAATCTCCCTCTGAAATACATGATCAATATCTACTGGTAATCTCCCTCTGAAATACAGGATCAATATCTACTGGTAATCTCCCTCTGAAATACAGGATCAATATCTACTGGTAATCTCCCTCTGAAATACAGGATCAATATCTACTGGTAATCTCCCTCTGAAATACAGGATCAATATCTACTGGTAATCTCCCTCTGAAATACAGGATCAATATCTACCTGGTAATCTCCCCTCTGAAAATACAGGATCAATATCTACTGTAATCTCCCTCTGAAATACATGATCAATATCTACTGGTAATCTCCCTCTGAAATACATGATCAATATCGATCTGGGATCGCCCCTGAAATACAGGTCAATATCTACTGTAATCTCCCTCTGAAATACATTATCAATATCTACTGGTAATCTCCCTCGCTGAAATACAGGAGCAATAGCTACTGGTAATCTCCCTCTGAAATACAG